ATCACGAGGATGACCTGGTTGCAGCAGCAACTGCCAACTCTTGTGACAAGACGTTTGCAGGCTTCGTGCCACCATGAACTCAGCTGTCTACGCAATATTGATGTGCATTTCTACTGCATATGGGTGATTAATCCAACACGGGTGAGATCAGATTCCCCAAGCTTTCGGTCTTCCATGCAATGTTTCCTTCTTGCTTTAGACTTTGCATAGCATAATAATTTTTTCAGCATTTGATAATTATAAAAGAAAATTACTTACTTTTACTACGACAGCATACGTTGCCGGCACTGCAAAACAGACCATCTCCGCACTGCCCATTGACGCACAGTCCAACTGCTTGGCCACCACCCGGGCAAAGGCCTAAGAATTTGATAATGAATTTATATTTATGCGCTTAATTTCTCGAAGTCCAACCTGTGAGTGGTGAGGTGGAAAAGTCCAAATTATGGGAATGCTTAGAAGGGCGAAGAACAATGGGGCATTTTCCCTGTCCACGAAGGCTTCTGTGAAGACTTGTCATTAATTCTGAAGTGGATGGCAAACGAAACTGTCGGGAAGTTGTTTCAGGCAAATCAACTACTCAGCAGATTTATCCCTTGTCATAGAAACCACATAGAATTTATCATTTGGATAGGATTTTACTGTAACGGATGCAAGAATCTCAAACGCTATTCATATGGATATCGGAAAGCTGCAGGACTGAGAAGGATACATTTCAGTGGCATATGTCAGAACTATTTTACCGCGTGGAATGTGCGAACGTTAAACACACCTGGACAGGGTATACCGGTATTAAACTGAATGGGAATACAGGTAACTGCTATACTGACCTGGAACAAACGCTGTGACCATTGAAAAATATAGGTTCTATTGCACATCAAATACAATTAATGGCGCTGTTCATGGAGATAGTGTTCCGCTGGCAGTCAGTAGAAACGCTGAAGGAGTCCTTGTACACTGGAGCGTGGTGTCTGACGGAATCATTACGGCGAGGTTCAAGTTCAGATACAAAAGACCTGGTTATTTCTGGCCTGTAGCTGGATGTTATGCCCCTATCGAAGCTGAGGCAGAGGCAGGAAAGGAAAAGTTTTGCGCCGCCTGACTCTACTGGTGCAGCAGTGCCGAATCCATAATACCTTGATTGTTCTGAGTGAAATATTATCGAAAGTGGGAACAAAAAATGAGCTGTAGAGATTCCTGAGGTTACGCAGTTTTGGGAAATGAACGATAACCAGCATATCTGTGCGAGGTGCACTATCTATTTGTTAACGGCACAGGCTTGCTTACAAATCAATGAATAAAATTACATGGCACTCTCATGATGCACTGCCTGGAAACCAGATAGACCGATTTCTCATCCACATAAGTCATCAAGCATCAATAGAAATCACCAAGGTGGATAAAAGTGTTGAACGATGCAGTGATAATGATCCGGTGAGGGCAAAAGTAAAAGTCAACGTGCGGCCCCAGATTATCAACCAAAAGTCTTCGATGAGTTTGAAGTGGACAAGATTAAATGTCGTGAAAAATAGGTCCTATTAGGTCATGATAACAGAAGATTTGAAACTTTAATCGATGATATCGGTAGAGAAACCTCAGAACATGTACCAGAAACACTACTAACAACGGCAAAACGCAAATGGAGCGCAAGAAAAGATGAAGGAAACCGGGAAAGTTTCGAAATTTAGCGGTTCAGAGAAAAAGGCAGGCTTGCAAAGACTGCCAGCAGACGCAGTTTACGAAGAGAAGTATAGACAGGAGTTATTGAGTCATTGATAAAAGATAGAGCTGATTTCTGGAAGAGACAAGTGTGCCATAACTCCACAAAGGTTCCATAGCAAACGATACCGACAATGGGCGGTGACAGTTAGGCAATGAAACATTTCCTCACTAAGAGGGAAAGAAGAGTAGCTAGTTAATGAGGCCGCAAGTAATCAATGAAGCATGAATTCTCGTAAACCAAGCGCCAGAGCTCTTGAGTTCTGAGCTTCTGTGGATGGAAGCTACTCAACTCTCAGGTGTCAACATCTCGACGCGCGCTCAGACCGGTGTTGGTACCCTGGTAAAACCCAACGTGGGTGACAGAATTATTCGACGGTAGATTCTCAGCGAATGATGGCAATAAACTGGCTGAAGTCACAACACGATAAAACCTCCAAACTGCTAAACGCCTATGCGCTCATTTTGGAGGGAGAATATAAACTCTTCTCGGAGGACGTAGAAGGTACTCTATGTGAAGTGCTGACTACGTAATCTATCACTGCAACGAGCGATCTGACCGATAACGACTCGAAATTATTGCAGTTTACTGCGGACAATGGACTGTCCGTTATGAACACTTTCGAGCATCATGAGGTGCATAAGTATACCTGGCATAAGGAAGCTTGTACGAAGAAGCACATGATCGACTTGATAATCTTATCGCTTGACTTACGACTCGCGTAATGGATTTTCGTGCTAAGAGAAGGGTAGAAGTGTCAGCCAATCATCGCCTTATTGCAGACGCCCTCATGACAGAGGACAGAGAAATGTTTGCATAATATTGGTATCTAAATCCATATATCACGTGTTGCAGAAAACCTTTGAGAAAAATCTTCCCGTTATCATTCTATATACCCAAATCACTCTGTCCATTGAATGCTGACTATTTATATATCTCTGAAATGGTTATCCATTGAGGTTACATCATCGCAATGAAGTTGAATTAGAGCAAGTAGCGTCTGCTGCCTAGGAAATTGGCATAAGTCTAAAAAAATGCTCTGAGAGAAAAGTTTATGAAAGACATATTCCGAACGAGCTATGATATTTGTAAGTATAATATAATATTGCCAGGCGAAACTGCGAAGCTCGTTTATTGTTACAAGGAACGAATAATGCGCATATGCTCTTAATGTAGTCAGAATATATGCTTTCAGTTTCTGGCATCAAGCCTTCAGTTGGAATATTGTGGAAACAGTGGCGCAGCTGGTTAATAAGTTGCCATTCACGTTATAGTGATGGATTCTAACTCCACGCGCAATGTATGCCTTGCTTATTAACTGCTAATTCCTTTAAGCAAGAAATTTTCCCAAGTGTGTTTAGGTGCAAACAGCGCAGTAATGGGTAGCAGGTCGCTAACCTATGAATAATGGGATCAAAATGGGGTACTGCAATGTGGCTATGAGTTCGATCATACCATGTTATGCGTACTCTTTACGGCGGCCATTCACCTCAACACATCTGATAGTTGACTAAAAATCAGCACGAAATGCCGACTTAAACTTAAAAATAGTCAATATCCGATTCTGTCTGAGTATCAGCTCTATGATGTATTGTGAAAATAAACGAAGAAATTCGTTATTTCTATGGCGTACTGGAAGAACTTCTAAGTAAACTTAAGATCAGGGAGTGAGACTGTTATGGAATATTTAATTTCTGAATTTAGTAGGGATAGACCTACAAAGAAAGTAGTCTACTTGCAACTTGACCTTTGCAGCACATTTGCACGACTATGCCTTTTCGAAGATAATGATGGTTTCCGTTTCTATGGGCAGTAACCATTCACAGTTTCCATCTTGTAGTATTTACTTATATGGTTATGTTTTGTGCATTTGGTCAACTGAAAGTTTGTTAGTGTGAATTTCAGAAGACATCATATGAAGGAACTGGGGTGAAAGCAATCGACATGACAACCAAAGCTAAGAAAATCTATTACCCTACATCGAATAAAAGTATAGATGGAAAGTTGAATGCCGATGACAACAAAAGACCGGAAGAAGAATTGTAGGTTTTGAAAGGTAGTACTACCAGCAAGTCTTACCCTTCTGTTGAATATAAGACTCAAAAAGAATTCAGTGCTGGTGCAGAGTTGAACCTAGTTGTCAAAATAACATAAATACTAACTTCTGGTGAAAGTCGAACTGATAAGCATATGAAAAATGTGAAAAATAAAATGGTCATTAAAATTCAAAATAAATCACAAATTTCCCACGCGAGATATGAGAATTATTTGAGAGTGCTGTATAATAATTCAAACATTCGACCCTGATTAGTATAGTTGGAATGGCGGGGACGATTAAATATGGTTTATGCGCAGAAATTGTCCAATATACAACAAAACTCTTGGGTTTAAAAAAATTACACTTTCAAATGCATTATATCGCATTTCAAAGTGGAATCTTGATGAGAGACCAATTCATTCAGTCATTTCATCTTCTTTTGATTGCTAAATATTCCACTTTTCATTCACAGAAACTGAAACGGTGAATTAGTTCTTCGCAGTATATTTCTTTCTGTAATGAAATCTGGACTTATATTCAGATGCATTACTTCAAACTGAATGAAAAAATACGTGCATTTTTTAATTCGTTATCACGATACCCTGGTTGCCATAATTTGTTAGATTCTGTGGTATCCACTTTAGACCTCCTGAAGATTGAAGGAGAGAAATCGAACGCGTTATACTTTATCCTGTAAAGAGGTTGCTTATTTTGATCATTGCCCATCTTTAAAGATAAAACTGAGTGGTTGAATTGTGAGACCCAGCTCCTTTAGATATCATCGCCATATGAGTTCACCTTTACTGCGACAGCACACGTTGCCGGCACTGCAAACAAAACCATCTCCGCACTGTCCATTGGAACAAAGCCCAACTGGCTGGCCTCCATCCGGACAAAATCCTTAAAAAATTGATGAGAGCAAAGAATAAAGAATATTGTTGCAATAACGTGCTTCAAAAATTACTACATTTATATAATTAATTTACAAATTCAATTTCCAGTAGCTCCAACACAGTAACAA